AAGCAGCACAAGCTGAAAAATCCAGGGGGGGCAAGTGCCCCCTCTTGCCCATCCCTGCGAACATCCATGCAGGAATCCCTGATCTACACAAACTGGCTGCTGTTTAAAGGCAAGCAGAGTCTTTACTGTCAATATCACTCAGTTCATCTGATGCCACAGGTAGGCCACAAGACATAATTAATCACCATGCAGGGCAGGATTTAAATACTCTCTTGTATACTGTTCTGTAAATGCAGTTGGGTAGTGTGTGTTTGATCCGTGGTGATACTGCTGTACTGTGCTTCTACATTCCCTTGATCCCAGACCTTGTAGGGAGCTACTACCATATATCCAATGGCCCTCCTCCTCTGCTCGGAAGGGACGTGTTTCACAGTCGAAGAACCCTGCAGGCATTTGGGCGGCTGGCTGGAGATTTTTTCAGGAAGGTCCCCGACCCAGTGCTAAGTTGGCGATTCAGAACAGCAGCTATATTTGAATGCGTGTTTTCCGGTGCAAAGGGTTGGGTATAGGTGCGATGAGATATGTGCCTCCAAAACTCCTGGCAGATCAGGTTGAATCGAGCCTCGAAGTGCTCTCTCCATCTGGAGAGAGCAGAGCCCTCTTGAGACTGTGGAAATTGTGGCTTGGTAGCCATCTTTGGTTTGCCACATGAGCTTGTCTGTGGCAGGAGATTCTGGTGCTGTATGTGGGTGATTTTCCCCAGCGGGTACCGGAATGACACCCACTGGTCTAGAGGATGAGTGGCGGAGCGACAGGAGAGTCTCCATGTAGGACGTGCCCTGCGCCGGGGGATCCGCCTCTTCATCCAGACACCAGGCCGCCAAACAAGTTAAGCCTCATGGTCGGACTTCAGCAATTACAAACTGAACAGTGTAGGATGCAACTCACTGCGTATCTGTATGATATGGCTTCGATTTACCGCACACATAAGGTACAGAAAGCCCAGTTGTAGCTAAAAATATTGAAAGTAGGTCTTTATGTGCAGGAGCTGTGAAACAGCACATCCGGCCATCATGGCAGTCAGCCCCCGCCCCCAATAACATGCTTATTTTAAGCAGGTTTGAGAGGAAAAGAAAAGACTAAAAATTAAATGGAATATACAGATCACTTGTATCCCTTCCTCTCAACCCAAGTCTTCTTCATCTTATAAGCTCACTTCCCTTTCTTTATTCCATTTCTCAATATCATTTTTTTTACTGTTTTTGGTTAAGTAGTGGAGGTAAAAAACATTTTGGGGTAGCATTTAGGTTACTTGTGCTGTAGGTGTTAGTATACGTAGGTTTGAGAATTAGTATTAGTATTTTGTGTTAGTGTAGTTAAGTGACATAGGGAAACCCAGCGGAAAGGATGCAGTGATGCTGTATTGTGAAATTATATGTGAGGGAGGGAACAGGTACGGGAATCTGCAAAAAAGGGCAAGAAGGGGCAGATGACCCCCTGGAATCTGATTTCCTTTAATGTAAAAGAGTGAAAGGGCCTATACACGTCATTGGGTTTAACTCCTTTGGGAATGTTGTGTGGACAATCCAGTGTAAAGGGGTCCCTAAACACTGTCTCACTACATTCAAGCTCACTGTCACCCACCCGCTCACTACATTCAAGCTCACTGTCACCCACCCGCTCACTACAGACAAGCTCACTGTCAGGTTCCTATACTGACAAGTAAGACTTTTTACTTTAAATGAAAATTCCTGGTTTTCACCTCTAGTGGCCTCCCTAGTTACTAGTCTCCTCTTCCTCACCTGCATTTTATGAAACAATTCTGCTATAAAAGGCCACACCCAACAATGTAGGGGGCCTTTACATTGAAGTTGGTGTTCACTCTACAACTTCAGTTCCTGGCTCCTGTGAGAGATTCTGGCTCCTGTACTTACCTGTATTGCATCCTACTTGGATAATCTACACTCCTGTACTTACCTGCATTGCATCCTACTTGGATTATCTACACTCCTGTACTAACTTGGGTTATTATCTACACTCCTGTACTTACCTGCATTGCATCCTACTTGGATTATTATCTACACTCCTGTACTAACCTGCATTGCATCCTACTTGGATTATCTACACTCCTGTACTTACCTGCATTGCATCCTACCTTAATTGCAACAACCCCTACTCCTTATCTAATCTGGACATTGCAGAACATATTGATTTATAAGCTGTTGCTTTCTTTCCCTGACTCTTATTAGATCCTATTCCTGTCTTGTTATTTTCACTATATTTCTCCAGCTTTATTATTTTGCACTCTTGGTTTATTTTCTTTGCCTTAACGTTTATTTCTCCCTCTCCTTATCCTTATTATCTACTACGTTATTGCTGTAATGCCAAAACCTGTAAATATAGCCATTTCAGTTAATCCTGGCAATCGTCTCCTATCTGACCTGATCGAGAGCAAGCTCACTGACACCCACAAGTTCAACAGACAAGCTGACTAAAACACACACATTCATGGGGAACACATATATATAATGTCTGCATAAAATGTATACTAATGTCCGCATGAGCATGGAAAATTGCTCTGCTTAGGAAAGTGCCCCCAAGCAGGGCCAACAACATCAGACAGGAGGGTGGGTGTTACAGCACTGTAGCACTCAGATTGTCTGGAGTAACAATATAACAGCTGCCAAAGTACGTAAATCATATGTTTAGTGCAGGGGTAGTCAACCTTTTTCTTCCTAAAGCCCACTAATGCATCTTTTTTGATGGAAACATTTCCTTACCGCCTACCAGTTTTGATATAATTGTTTTGATATAATTGTCAAAATAGGTTTTAATGATCTCAAACACTCATATTTGTGTTCAGGGATTCCTCACGGATAAACAGTACCCCCCATGTACAGGTTTTATGGGTTTTTGGAAAGTTACAGGGACAAATATAAGACTTTCCCATTTCAGTTTGTCTTATTAGTTTGCTGAGCCTGTTGTCCTTAAGGCCATATGGCAGCCAAGGAATGAGAATTACCCCCATTTTGGCATACTATTCACAAATGTAGACAACCCAGGATATTAAGAATTGGGTACGTCCAGTGTTTTGTAGCAGCCACTTAGTCACAAACCCAAGCCAAAGTTAGTTTTTCTATATCTTTTTTGTTTGCATTTTTCACACAAAAACTGCACTTTAGGGATCATATCATCATCATTACAAGTTTTAGTGTTTGTGTTCAGCAAAGTCTCGCAAGTACAACAGTACCCAACATGGTACCACAGGTTTTATGGTGTTTTGGAAAGATAAATGTAAAACTAAATTTAATGGACTTTCTGCCTGAGTTGTCAGGCACGTCCTTTGAATCATAATTAATATAATTAGTGATGTAAATATAATAGATACATGTATTTATAGTATATATACATGTACACACACATTCATGTATATACACACACAAATATATATATATTTTTATTTATATATACATATACATCAGTGTATATGTATATATAAAATATATCAAATCTAATCTACTTGTATTTTGATATATATATATGCTCCACAATTTGAGTCATCCTCAATTGTGAGTAGAGAATGCAAGGGTTGCATGATATTTATGTGAAGGCGGGGGGGGAGTGGGTGGTATGAACTTTACGTGCAGAGTTTTTATATGAAGGGGGGGTTAAGGGTATGACTTTTATGTGAAATGGGGTAGGGTTTTTATGTGTAGGGGGGATGCAGGATTCTTATGTGTAGAAGGTGCAGGATGTTTATATGAAGGGAGAGCAGGATATTTATACGAAGGGGGGTGCAGGGTTTTTATGTGTATGAGGTGCAGAGTTTTTATATAAAAAGGTGCAGGGTTTTTATGTGAAAGGGGTGCAGTACTTCTTTTTCAGAGTTCTGGGGGCTAGTGGGGGTGTCAAACATGGAATCCGCACCAGTTGCCAAATGTTCTAGGTATGCCCCTGGCCGGTCACAAAATTCGGGACGGCATAGTAAGCCCTAACAGCGTTAAGGGGTAATAACATAGGACAGGGGTAGGCAACCTATGACACGTGTGCCATTCACGGCTCTCGAGGTGCCTTTGCACAGCACTCAAGGCTGCTAGAGCAAAACAGGTTCTGGCCTATCAGGAGTCCCAGTGATATCTGCTAATATTAAGAGGTGGTGAAGGACAATCCTCAATTTATGCATTGCTGCACATAGAGGAAGTGATCTTAGATCACTTCCTCCCAGCACTTGTGAATGGGAATCCACACCTTAGCAGAGCAACCCGCAGCTGCAATCGCAGCTCCTGCCCTTGACCTGTACCTGGCAAGCCCGATCCCCACTGGAACCCAGGGAAGCCACTCACACTGCTAGATATACACAGAAATGCAGAATAACCCTCCCCTCATACAAATAATACGAACACCCCACACACAAACATTCACACAAACTCAACACCACTAATAATCCACATACATGCACACACCCACACATGCAATACCCCAAACAGCCCCACACATACACATACTGCCAAATACACAATGTGACATATCCATGCACACACACACACAATTCCACAAGCAGCCCCCTTACACAGCCATAGGTATCATACACGATACAACAAACTACTAATGAACATATACAATATAATAGTTCATATACACACAAATACAACGATACAAAGCAACTGCAGTAAAAACAACACAAGCAGATTACCACAACATACACACTTCAATTTAAAAAAATAGGACAGGAACACTACCGGACATCACAATCTTATTTCGGCACAGTACTGCTAAAAGGTTGCCTACCCCTGACATAGGGTGTGTGTTTACTAACAAAGTGGGTGTGTATTTAAGTCAGATAATCTAAAATTTAATGCGCAATATATAGAAATATATAGAAACCAAACGAACACATTTTCATTTTTGCAGCACAAATCACCACAAATGCAGCACAAATAAATGGTATCTTTATTATCTTATAACAACATGGGGTGCCAACTTCACATTGCCATAATAAATATTTTTTGAAAACTAAAACTTAAAAAAGTTCAAAAATAATCAACACACTAATGCACATTACATTATGCAAAATGTATACATTTTTAGGAAGACAAGTTATATTTATAATCATGTTTCAACTTCTCTTGTTAAGAAAATAAATCCTGGTTTCTTTTTCTTGCCATTATCTCCCAACTGCTACTTGCTGTAAACGTAAGCAAAATATACTTTACATCCAAAACTCTGTTTTATATTTTTAAGAATTTTTCTTGAACCCTTCATAGGACATAATATTTTATTAGTGATAATATGTTTGAATCCTAGCAGCGTTCTAGAAAAGAATCATGTTATTAGTTAAAATACTATTCATTAATAATTATCATATTGCACTGTACTAGTCCAAATAGCAACTAAAGACAGGTTTGTAAAGATTTTTAAATTAGAAGCAGATATAAACAAATTGTATACATCAATCAGTGTAGCTGAACAATTATTGATAGTTTAATTTATTTCAACTTTGTTATAACCAACCACCATATTTAATACAACAGATGTCTAAATATTAGCAGTGACTTTATTTAAAAGAGATGCATAGGTTGTGGGGCAGTAGCGCTGAAAAAGATGTTCCACAAGTGTGTTGCTTCCAACAACCACCATTTTTTCATGTTTTCTATTCATATAATTCCAGAGATGCAAAGAATAGGAGTTATTAAAAGATGGTAACTCTTCCCAAACCTCATAGTATCTTTCCCAATTTTCCCATGGAATAGGATAGAAACGTTGAGGGTTTAAATAGGGGATATTACCACAGGTGACATCTTCTGTATTTTTAAATGGAGGCAGCACACACCACTGTTTCATAACACGTGTAAAGAGGGATGGTCCCTGATATCCCCATTGGTCTCCATTGTAGTTTTTTACAAAGTCTTCCATACATTTCCAGGTAAAGTTATGATGGCGATTAAGTCCAAAAACACTACTGCTGCAAACACTGAAAGCTTCTGCTGCAAGAAAATTCTTATGTGGAATGGGTCGCATTGAGATTACATCAGCATCGAGATATAAACCGCCATATTTCCATATAGATGCAAATCTTAATCCATCGGAGTTTACATGAATCCAATATTTTTCCTTCTTGGGATTAACCTAGAAGTAAAATGAAATTAAACAGCATAGTAAATATTTTATGTTGATTAAAAAATAGACACTGGAGTTTATTTAAACACCAAACAGTAAAAGAATAGCAGATTAATGTCATAAATCTGTTAGAATTCTGCCATTCTAAGCAATTTTAAACGATTCAGTTATTAATATAAAACAAACAAAACAAAAAAAACTTGATTGTTTCAACCAAATTTAGGCTTCTGATCATCTGCCTTTCTTTTATTGTTCCAATCTGCCAAATCTTCATATAGCTTTGCTGATTATTCTGTTTACAAACCCTACATTTGGTTGACCTAATTATAGTAACACAGAAAAATGAAACTGCATCTATAACACAAACCTAACAAAGCTTAGAGGACCACTATGGTCACCCAGACCACTTCAGCTCAATGAAGTGGTCTGGGTGCCAGGTCCCCCAGGTCCCCCAGGTGAAAATCCCATTGAGCACGCAGAACGTCCATAGGAAAGCATTGAGAAATGCTTTCTTATTGGCGTTTTTAATGCGCGAGCGGCTCCAATTGGGAGCTGATGTCGGAAGGGGAGGAGCTGGATAAAGGTAAGTGGCTGAACGGGTTCTAACCCCTTCAGCCTAGCGGGAGGGGGGCCCTGAGGGTGGGGTGGCCTAAGGCTTATATAGTGTCAGGAAAATTAGTTTGTTTTCCTGACACTATAGTGGTCCTTTAATGCCACTCCTAATTTCTTTTAACCATATAATAATATTCCAACCATATATCTCCCAAAATAACAAAACATTAAAATATTTGCACACAATCACAGGCCTATACACACATAATCACAGATGTACCCACACAGATATGCACACAATCACACACACACACACAAACACACATATACACAATTACAGACTTATACACACACAATCACATACATCCAAGCACATAATCACAGATACACACACACAATCACAGGCCCAAACACATAATCACTGAGTTACACACATACCCCCCCCCCACACACACACACAATCACAGATTAAAACAAAATACACAAAAATTACATATACATATACACTCAGTACATAAGAGGTCCACACAGCCTCCTTACGTTTCTCTGGGAGGGCTGGAATGGATCCTCTCTTCCTGCTGGCCAGTGGTTGCTGATGTGCTCTTCTTGCATAGGTCCCTCATGCATGCCCAGCAGTGATGCCGATGACACTATATACTGGCGGCCGGCGAGGAGCTGTCCAGGAGGAGCACAGTGTGTAAAGTGCTCCCTGCCTCCTTCGCCACCCGGCAACACATGTGCAATAGTGAGCATGCATTAAAAGAAAGACAGCTTTGCATGTTCTAAAATAATGGGGGGGTGGGGGCAGAACTTAACAGGGAGACAAACCATCAGCTTACGGAGTCAGGGTATGGATTTTAAGAAAACATTGTAGAAATTACTATAAGCTGATATGAACAATAACCTCAACATCTGAGGAAATGGATTTAGGAGTAGTTATTTCGGATGACTTAAAGAGCTGTGGAAACTGATATTCAATGTGGATTAGTGGAAGATAATGTATCATGGTTGTAAAAACCCAAGGGCAGAGTATATAATATTTGATATAGTACTAACTTCAACATCTGAGGAAAGGGATTTAGGAGTAATTATTTCAGATGACTTAAAAGGTAGGTATACAATGTAATAGAGCAGAAGGAAATTCTGGCAGAATGCTTGGTTGTATAGGGAGAGGTATTAGCAGTAGAAAGAGGGAAGTGCTCATGCCATTGTACAGAACACTGGTGAGACCTCACTTGGAGTACTGTACACAGTACTGGAGAACGTATCTCCAGAAGGATATTGATAATTTGGAAAGAGTTCAAAGAAGGGCTACTAAACTGGTTCATGGATTGCAGGATAAAACGTACAAGGAAAGGTTAAAGGATCTTAACATGTATAGCTTGGAGGAAAGACGAGACGGGGGATATGATAGAAACATTTAAATACATAAAGGGAATCAACACAGTAAAGGAGGAGACTATATTTAAAAGACGTATAACTACCACAACAAGAGGACATGGACAAAGGTTTAAAAATAATTTCAGGAAGTATTACTTTACTGAGAGCGTAGTGGATGCATGGAATAGACTTCCAGCTGAAGTGGTAGAGGTTAACACAGTGAGGGAGTTTAAGCATGCATGGGATAGGCATAAGGCTATCCCAGACTTAAGATACGGCCAGGGATTAATAAAAGTATTTAAAAAATTGGGCAGACTAGATGGACCAAATGGTTCTTATCCGCCGTTACATTCTATGTTTCTAATAAAAGTAAAAAGGGACACTGATATCTGCAGCTGCATGTGTCACGTAGGTTAGGTGGGTGTCTCTGCACACAAAGGGAGTGATTCCTGCAACAGTCTAAGATGGACAAGATTCTGCCAGTGCAGCCGCAGCTGGCAAGCCCAGGGACTGGAGAAAAGCTGGTACCTCAGAGAGGTGCGATAGGATATGTGTCTTGCCAACCCTGCCCACTGGTGCATGCCCTACTTATAGGGAATGCTCACAGAGCATCTGAATAACTTTATGGAATGACCTCTGCCCAATGAGGGTATTTCTCCAGAAGTCCCTGCAAAACAAATGCCAGGTGCGGCCCTTCAAAAGAGACACCGTGGGAGAGCCCCATGAGTACCCCCCCTAGTAAGAGTCCCCCACAAATTTAAGCAAGACATTACAAGATGCATCTTGTGGTGTTTTAGTAGGACTGGTGAGATGAAAGCAGGAATCAATCACCAGCTGCTTAGCTTGCTTATGTGTCAATAAAGTGGCAATAAGCCCCTGGCAGTAGTGGGGCAGTTCAGCATGAGAGATTGACATGGTCACTCCATGTATCCTCAGGTTTCGAGCCTTGGCCCTGTCTTCCATGATGGCTATTTGTACTTGCTGGTTGGAACATTGTTTTTGTAACAATCCCAGTGCAGCATCAGTGGCTGTTTGTGCTAGTATGTTGCACGCTATTTATTTCTCCACTGCCACAACACAGCCGGTGAGTGTGAAAAAATCCTCCCAGACTAGTGAACATGAAACAAAGATTTAATGCCCTGCATCAGTGCCTTTATATAGTCCTCAGTGGTAGGAGCAGAGTCTCCCAGCTTGACTGTGTCAAAGGTTGTGCCTGGATAAGGCTGGTGAGTCGGCAGAATACTACTGACGATGGCAAGATATAGGCCTTAACCGGCGCCATTTTGGAGGTTTTGGGCCACGAGGTCATGTGCAGAAATGCCCAGATATCTCAGGAGCTTGAGCCTGGATTCACTTGGTGTTTCTTATTTTTCTTCTCCATGGTGAAGGGTACCCGGGAGTCTCTTCTGGAACCCAGTAGGGGAGTTAATAAAGGAAAGAGTGGGAGAATGATATATATGTAAAGTAGGGCTGGTAGAGCAGGGCATGAACCCAATTGATAAAGTAATAAGAGACGAAAAGAATTAGCTCTTAGCCCTAAGATATGGTGAATGAATAATTAAAACTTAACTTTAATTATGTACACAAAAGGGAGAAAAAAAGAGATACAATTGGAAACAATCACAAATGTTGCACTAGATGGAGACAAAACCAGGCTGTGCTTAATAATTAGCATCAAGGGAAAAGCATGTTGCGATGTTTATACAGTGTAGGATATAGGGGATGAAAAGATACAAAACAATCAATATATATATATATTTACAAACAAAAGTTTACTCTGTAATGTCAGTATGTAAATAAATAAGTAGCAACACGCTGTGTCCACTGTAATATTCTGTAATATGTATATGCTGTACTTTGTTGCAGTTTATCTTTGAAGTGCAACCTGAAACATTAACATCATGTTTGCAGTGTAATGCCAGGGGGAACCCTCGGCAATATAGAAATGCAGGAAGAGTACAGCGGCTGCTAAATATAGTGAAAGGGGTGAGGTCCTAGTAAGGACTATTGGGACAGAGTAAATAAAGTTGGTAGTCAGAGTGAATATGAATATGAGTGAATATAGAGACTCACCCTATAGCACTGCCGGTAAAAATCACCATTAGTAAATACGATGTACCGTCACAAAAATGGCTGGAAAATAATTACATTTTGAGTGCTATGCAGACTATCGCCCACATATATCAAATTTTGATCTTCTACCCCCTACCTGCAATTGTTAGTAAGGGATTTTCCCTGAGTGAATATATCCCTGGTCTCTTTTTGGTCTGTCTACATAGGGTCATATACCGTTACCCGGCACATAGACACTATTTTATCCTATAAGGACCCTTTGGTGGATATAGTGGCTCAACTCATAGTTCTTAACCCCTTGACGACCGATGACGGTTCAGGACCATCATCAGAAACATCCCCTTGAGGACTGGGGACGGTCCTGAACCGTCATAATGGTCTTGGGGTACTTACCTGATCGCCGTCGTTCCCCCGGCGGCGATCAGCATTTCACCTGGTCTGGGGGGGGCTGCCTGTCTGCCCAGACCGTATCCCCATGGCAAATTAGAACCCCACGGCCACGTGATCGCTCGATCACATGGCCGCAATATGTGCCTGTGTATCTGCCTGCAGGGGGACTGTCTGTGCTGACAGGCAGTCTCCCTGCAAGTGTAAAATCTAAAATAAAGTTTAAAAAAATAGCAATCAGTGTAAAACAAAAAAAAAATACATATATGTATATATATATATATATATATATATATATATATATATATATATATATATATATACACACATGTATTATATCTATATATAATAAATGTATATATTTCATATATATAATGTCATACTAAGTGTATTATATTAATATACAAAACACACGTATAATTAAATTACACACGTGTATATATAATATATAATAATATATTATATATATATATTATTATTATAAAATATAAATAAGTAAATAAAACTAAATAAAAAAATTTAAAAATAATTTTTAATAATTTAAAAAAAATTATATATGTATATGTAATTTTATTCTAACGGTATTTTGATATTATATATATATATATATATATATATATATATATATATATATGTGTGTGTATATATTTATATCAAAATACACTTAGAATGAAATGATATATGTATCTATGTATAAATAAATAATACGAAATATACATATGTCCTTATACATAATTACATAAATAATTTCATAAATATGTACGTAGACTTCAAATATATAAATATGTATATATATTTAAATTCTATGTGCATATTTATGTAATATTTTTACATAATTAAGTAATTTTATTGATTGCAATTTGAGGGACATACCTGACAACCCAGGCCGAAAGTCCAGAGAATTTAATTTGCTAGCACTGTGTTTAACCCTGTAACTTTCTATGACACCCTAAAACCTGTACATGAGGCATACTCTTTTACTCGGGAGACTTCGCTGAACACAAATATTAGTGTTTCAAAACAGTAAAAGATATCACAGTGATGATATTGTCAGTGAAGATTTTTGCATTTTTCACACACAAATGGCACTTTCACTGATGATATTATTGCTGTGATACGTTTTACTGTTCTGAAACACTAATATTTGTGGCAAAACAGGCCGCTCCAAAAACCAGTGGTGAAGTTGCTTTCGTCACACCTTCCATGTGTCTCACCTCCCACAGTCCCTCCATGTGTTTCAATTCCCTCCAGCCCTTCCATATGTCTCAATTATCCCCCCACCCACAGTCCCTCCATATGTTGCAGTCCCCCCCCCAGGCCCTCCACGTGTCTTAATCCCCCCAAGCCTCACCATGTTGGCTTTATTTCTCATGGTAGCTCTGTTTGGAATGGAGATAAGCTGTACAAAAAAGATGGTTTGCATCTTTCTCAAAAGGGAACAAATGTTCTCAGTGAGCAGTTCAGAGGTTTTGCTAGGATGTATTTAAACTAGGAGGGGGGGGCAAAAGGGTGATAAAACATCAATCCAATTGTCCCCAAAACAAGGACAGAAGGTGCCTGTAGCAAGTGTGTTAAAAAATGATAAGCTTAGAGTCATGTCTACAAATGCTCGCAGTTTAGGGAATAAGATCCATGAACTTGTGGCAATAATGGCAACTGATAGTGTAGATTTAGTCGCTGTTACTGAGACATGGTATAATGAGAAAAATGACTGGGACATAGCAATACCATCTTTATATAGAAAAGACAGGGAAGGCAAGAAAAGGGGAGGGGTGGCCCTGTATGTGAAGGATAGCATAAAATCTAGCATAATAAAAGTTAGTGAGGCGAACATAGAGTCCGTTTGGGGTACGTTAGAATTTGGTAATTACACAGTAACTCGTGTAGGTGTGATTTATAGGCCCCCAGGACAAATTGAAGAGTTAGATAATCTACTAGTTGAGGAAATAGCTAAAATGACAATGAAGGGGAAGTTATCATCATGGGTGACTTTAATCTTCCTGATGTAAATTGGAAAACAAAATTAGCTACTTGTGCCAGGAGCACACATATTCTAAACTCCCTACTGGGATTGTCTCTAAAACAAGTTGTTGAGGAGCCAACTCGTAAAGAGGCCATACTAGATTTAGTGTTAACAAATGGAGATTTGGTATCAGATGTTACTGTAGGTGAAAGTTTAGGATCCAGTGATCATCAGTCAGTGTGGTTTAATATAAGAACAGTGACTGAGTCACACCACACAAAAACAAAAGTTTTAGACTTTAGAAAAACAGACTTTTCTAAAATTAGAATATGGGTAGAGGAGTCATTATCAGACTGGAGCAATTTAAATGGAGTCCAAGAAAAATGGGATTATTTAAAAGTTGCACTATTGAAGGCAACAGAAAATTGCATTAGGCTTGTCAGTAAAAGCAAAAAATTCAAGAAACCACTGTGGTACTCCGCAGATGTGGCCAAAATAGTTAAAAACAAAAAGTTAGCATTTAGGAATTATAAAAAAACCCAGAGTGAGGGAGACAAAATGATCTATAAGATTAGGCAGAAAGAGGCTAAGCAAGTTATAAGAGCTTCCAAATCACACACAGAAGAGAAAATAGCACAGTCAGTAAAAAAAAGGGGATAAAACATTTTTTAGATACATAAATGAGAAAAGAAAAGTAAAACAAGGATTAGTTAGATTAAAAACAAAAGAAGGAAGGCATGTAGAAGAGGATAAAGGTCAGCTGACTGCCTCAATGAATATTTTTGTTCTGTATTTACAAAAGAAAATGAAGGAAAGGGACCTCAGTTGAGAAAAAGGATAAATGAGTCATTTATTACACGTGAGTTTACAGAGGAAGAGGTTCTATTTCAACTGTCAAAAGTAAAGACAAATAAGTCAATGGGACCTGATGGAATACACCCAAAGCTATTAAAAGAGCTTAGTGGTGTACTAGCAAAACCATTAACAGATTTATTTAACCAATCATTGTTAACAGGAGTAGTCCCAGAAGATTGGAAGTTAGCGAATGTTGTGCCCATTTACAAGAAAGGTAATAGGGAGGAGTCGGCAACTATAGGCCAGTAAGCCTTACTTCAGTAGTGGGGAAAGTGATGGAAACCATGTTAAAGGATAGGATTGATGAACATCTAAAACACATGGATTTCAAGATCAGAGACAACATGGGTTTACTTCAGGGAGATCATGCCAAACTAATCTTATTGATTTTTTTGATTGGGTAACTAAAACTATAGATCAGGGTGGTGCAGTAGACATTGCTTACCTAGATTTCAGTAAGGCTTTTGACACTGTTGCACATAGAAGGCTTATCAATAAACTGCAATCTTTAAGTTTGGATTCAAATATTGTTGAATGGGTAAGGCAGTGGCTGAGTAACAGGCAACAGAGGGTTGTAGTTAATGGAATATATTCGAAGCTTGGACTTGTCACCAGTGGGGTACCTCAGGGATCTGTACTTGGACCCATTCTCTTTAATATTTTTATTAGTGATATTGCAGAAGGTCTTGATGGTAAGGTATGCCTTTTTGCTGATGATACTAAGATATGTAACAGGGTTGATGTTCCAGGAGGGATAAGCCAAATGGCAAATGATTTAGGTAAACTAGAAAAAATGGTCAGAATTGTGGCAACTGACATTTAATGTGGATAAGTGCAAGATAATGCATCTTGGACGTAAAAACCCAAGGGCAGAGTACAGAATATTTGATAGAGTCCTAACCTCAACATATGAGGAAAGGGATTTAGGGGTGATTATTTCTGATGACTTAAAGGTAGGCAGACAATGTAATAGAGCAGCAGGAAATGCTAGCAGAATGCTTGGTTGTATAGGGAGAGGTATTAGCAGTAGAAAGAGGGAAGTGCTCATGCCATTGTACAGAACACTGGTGAGACCTCACTTGGAGTATTGTACACAGTACTGGAGACCGTATCTTCAGAAGGATATTGATACCTTAGAGAGGGTTCAGAGAAGGGCTACTAAACTGGTTCATGGATTGCGGGATAAAACTTACCAGGAAAGGTTAAAGGATCTTAACATGTATAGCTTGGAGGAAAGACGAGACGGGGGGATATGATAGAAACATTTAAATATATAAAGGAATCAACACAGTAAAGGAGGAGACTATATTTAAAAGAAGAAAAACTACCACAACAAGAGGACATAGTCTTAAATTAGAGGGACAAAGGTTTAAAAATAATATCAGGAAGTATTACTTTACTGAGAGGGTAGTGGATGCATGGAATAGCCTTCCAGCTGAAGTGGTAGAGGTTAACACAGTAAAGGAGTTTAAGCATGCATGGGATAGGCATAAGGCTATCCTAACTATAAGATAAGGCTAGGGACTAATGAAAGTTTTTAGAAAATTGGGCAGACTAGATGGGCCGAATGGTTCTTATCTGCCGTCACATTCTATGTTTCTATGTTTCTATGTTTCTCAATTCCCAATCCCACCATGTGTCTCAATTACCCCTGCATGTCTCAATTCCCCCCCCCATTCCCCTCTGTACCTGCTCCATGTAGCGTTACCAAGCGGAGCGTGGTGCCCAATCTTACAGGAAGTGCTCTCAGTGAACACTTCCTGTCAGACCAGGTAGAGGGAAACAGAGACCACTCTACACGACGTCCACCTGGCCATGCTAGATGCAGTGACCAGCAGAATATGATCTTTACTGTTTGGAATGGAGTACAGAGACTGCAATTTTTGGATATTTGCAAATAATAAATATGTGTAATGGGCTTTTGGCTCAGATATTCATTCCTCTATAAATGGGTAATTATTTCTGGAGTACGACAAAGGAAAATAAGACTTTATGGACTACATATTTTACAAAGCAAATGTGTATATCCTGATTACTTTCCATACCTTCCCTAATTTTATGGTAAGACAGGAGGCTTCATATTTGCTTTACCTTTACTGAAAACTTCCAGCAGCAAATAAGTAGTTAAGATAACTTTTCAAAACAACCAATGAGAACAAAATAACAGCAGTATAAAACCACTTAGGCAGACCCTCCCACTTCCTCTTTCTTTGCTGCTGCCTCCAAGTGAGCACTGTCCAACTCAGAGAGTGTGTCTGCTCTAGGTTGTTATTTATTCATTGTATTTACCTGCTTGGGTTTTGATATCTCTGTCTGTGGATTTGTTGCTGGGCTGACTGTGGGGTGTGTGCCTGGCTCCTTGTCTGGGGTTTTGGGTTTTCCTGTCCATATCCCTTTCCCTCCTGGGGCTTCCCCTGGGGCTCTTCCCCGGCCGGCCCTCGTGCTGTGCGCTCCCTCGGCACCCCCCACTCCCATCCTCTCTTCCTTGCTTCCCAGCGGCTTCCCGTGGCCCTGGAATGCTCACACGCGGCACGTGAACGATCCCGGTCTCGCTTGTGGCACTGTCGCGCACCTCTGCGGCTTCACGTGTTAGACCATGCTCGATTTTTGTGGACGCAGTGGAGTGGGCTCCATGCATTCCAGGCAGCCCAGTTTCGCTCACCCTGCTGCCGAGCTGTCTGCTGTCAGTGTGGCCAGCCTTCTCTCTCCCTCTCTCTCCCCTATTTTGTTATTACTGCCTTTTTTTGCAGGGAACTTTTCCATACATTGTAAGCTGTACACACACATTACACAGCTCTTAGATGAACAGTGGACAGTCCTAAACCTGCACCTATTACACTATCATACAATTCTACTCCTTAGGTGGGCTAACTGTCACCCCACAAAGGGAAGGCCTCTGGCCTATTGATACATGGGGTCATCCCCCTCTCTGCATTACTGGGGCACTAACCCTGCTTATACTGCCCTCTACTGGGCCATACTGCTGTGCAAGTGGCACTGTTGTGGGTTGGGTGACCCCCTTCCTCTGACTAGCCTGGTGGGCCTTTCCGGGTCCTGTGACTCTTACGCTGAGTGAGACCCCCTCCCCCTGCTGGCCTAATTTGCATGATTTGTTAGTGCTTGTTGGGTGACCCCCTCTTGCACATTGGGTGACCGCCAGCTGGCCTTATCTAGGAAACAACACTGATTGTACCTTACCTCTGTTTCAGTGACATCAGTCATGTCTAACAAACCTGGCTTCCATGCCCCTGAGGGACGCCAGGCCTGGCTGTGTGCCACCTTGGCAGATTCCTTATCTAAGGCCCTCGCTGCCCTCCATGGGGATGCTCCACCTGCCCCACCGGGACCTACGCCCGGACCCTCTGGCGCACAGGACTCTGACTCAGGTGGCTCCCTACGCTCTGCGGACATGGGCTCAGTGCCCAAGAGGCCTTGGAAGGGCCACTGCACTCCCTCAAATAAAGGAAAGATGTCTGCCAAATCAGACTGGGATCAGACGGTTGCCCGGATGAGGACGCATTCTCTGGAGCACCAGGCTACGACATTCTAGATGAATACCGGGCTGGCAGCTCGAGTGCCACGTCACCCGGCGAAGGTGTTCTTGACCATCGTTCGCGGTATGTGCAGAGGACGGTGTTGGACTTCCCTCTGGCCAACTCACAAAGAGCCCCTGCTGCCAATGCTGTTGACCCTGGTTAGATCTTAGAGCCCTCTGGTCACCCGCTCTTCAACCCGCACCTCCTCAAGCATTCCCGCTCTGCGGAATGGGCGCCTTCGGACCACATTGTGGAGTTTCTTCGCTACAGGCTTCGCCACCCTTTGGATAAAGAGGTCAGGGCGAAACTTCGGGCCGAGTGTCCATGCCCAACATTGCCGGACAAGGTGGCCTTTACCCCTGCTTTTGACCCAGTGTTTGCCACCTTCATGATGAAATCTGGGAAGGACCCACGCAAGGGCCTGGAACAGGGTCTGCACTCCACCCAGGATAAACCCCTCAAGATCAGCGTCTCGCTGACCCAGATCTTCCTTATGGCGGATGACGTTCTGCAAGGGGGACCCCCGATTGACGCTTATCTCCTCTGGGAGTGGGTCCAAAGAGCTGTCTGTCTACTGGGCAATGCCAATGTGGCCCTCAAATCGGAACGTCGCAAGGTGGCACTTTACAAGCTTGAAGGGAAATTAGCTGATTTGGCCTCTAAGGAGCTGGGTCCGGATGCTAAGGGCCTGTTATTTGGGGACGCCTTTATGAAGGAATTGAAGCAGCATGTCTCCATCTACACATCCCTCAACAAGGCACAACTGTCCCTCTGAAGGGTCTTCTGTTCTGGGGACTGTTTTTCCACCAGGGCTTTTCGGAACAGGGGCCACACCACCAACAGATCTGCCTTCATGGGCACCAGGCCCCATCTCTCAGAGTCCTTCTCCTCCTCCACCTCCTCATCACGGTACCAATACCATCCACTGTTTTCCCGAGGATCTTCCAGGAGCCGAGGTGCTTCATCCACACGGGCAAAATACACCTCAGGTAGAAGTCCTGCCTTATTTACCAAACTTATCCATTGCGGGCAGACTGTCTCATTTTTTTCCTCAGTGGGAGGCCATCACAGGAGATCTGTGTCTGGATTCCGGATCGACTTTGTGGAACCTCCATAGCAGGTCTCTGCTACAAGACCTAGACGCATGAACAAGGAGTCGTCCAACCTGGTCCATTCGGAAATACTCATCCTACTGGACAAGGGAGCGGTGGAGAGGGCAACAGGCCCCCTCACTTCTTGAGCAATATCTTCCTGGTGAGGAAGATGTCAGGGGATTTCTGCACTGTAATCAATCTGCGTGCCCCGTATGTCATCTACCAACATTTCAAGATGGAAGGCATCCATCTCCTCAGGGATCTGCTCCGCGAGGGTGACTGGTTCTCGCATCTAGATTTGAAGGACGTTTTCCACACGGTGCCGATCCATCAAGAGGACAGGTGTTTCCTCCAGTTCTTCTGGAAGGAACGCATCTGGCAGTTTACATGCCTCAGCTCGGCCCCATGGTGCTTCACCAAACTTTTGAAGTCGGTCATGGTGACACTGAGAGCCAGGGGGATCAGGTCAATCGTCTATCTGGACGATATTCTGTTGATGGCGCAAGATCCCACCGACTGCATGCTGCTTCAATACTCACTAGGAAGCCATCACACCGCTGCCACCAAATGTGACTGACTGCCTAATACCCCGACTGGGTACCTCCATCAATCGCTGCTTCCTAGTACTTGCGAGCACCATAACCACCGTAAACGCCACAAACCTCCGCAGCTTGGTTGGGGTCTCACTGTACTACACCCACCCTGGACCCAAGACCAGGATCCAGCTTCCATTGGGTAGACCTCTCCTAGTCCAGAGAGCAAAGCAGGCTGCTCTTAAAAGAGCAATTGTTGTGATCCAAGGGAGTATAGTGATTATAGCAATCCCCAAAGTGAATATTGCTCTCCAATCCCTCAAACACGAGCCTAGACTTCATGAAAGGTAAAACGAATCTGTTTAATGGTAACCACAACTGGCCTTTTATGACAGTCCCCATGCAAGGGGCACTCCCCTCTGGACCTGAGAGTAAACCACAGTAGAAACAAATACACAATCACATTGGCTCTCAGGTCCAGGACACTCCCATACAAAATATGTCAATCCCTCTCCCCTGCCCCTCGCTACTGTACAGATTATTTTAGCTTTCCACTAGAGTTTCTGTAGATAGGGGTCTATCTTTGTGTCTCCAGAGTTCCATTTAGGGACCGCTTGCTCTAGGGGCTCCTATTATTTTGTGTCCCTTTTTCAATCCCTCCCCTATGCCTGGGAGATAATTCAGAGTCAAGCACTATACTAAACTCAATTATCTCCAAACAAAAAAAAAACACACATTTTTACAAACACCCCAAAAGTACCTTAAAATACACAAAAAAAAAACCTAAAGGTTAAATCACCTGATAGCCCCGATCTGGGTGACCAACATATCCAAAAAATCACCCAGATTGGTTCAGGGGTTCAGGAATTTCCTGGAAGTCTTAATTTTGACTGACTGCACGCCTGGTCCCATGCCCAAAACAGTTCCAGAGATTCAGGGTTTGCGGTCGGTCTAGTTCGGTAGTTTAGAACCGAACAAAATACCGAACAGAGTCAATGTTCTTACCCTGGACCTTGTTCCCCTTGTTCGTGAGAATGTTTCCACAGAACAGCACCTTTCTAACTGTTGTAGAACCGAGCACAGGTAATCATGGAAGTCCAGCAGTGTTAGGGAGTTTCAGTGTAAGAAAATAGTTCCATGAACTCGACGACCAAATACCAGTGCCTGCGTTCGTGCGAACAAGATGGCCGCCACCTTGTGGTCATTCATAGGAAATGCGGCCACCCAGACAAAACACTTTGAACACTGCCGTGGAAATTGCTACAAAGTGTCAATTAGGCTTAAAGGACCACTATAGTGCCAGGAAAACATCCTCGTTTTCCTGGCACAATAGTGCCCTGAGAATGCCCCCACCCTCAGGGACCCCCTCCCGCCGGGCTCTGGGGAAAGGAAGGGGTTAAACTTACCTCTTTCTCCAGCGCCGTGCGGGGAGCTCTCCTCCTCCTCTCTGCCTCCTCTCCTCCTCTTCGGCTTAATGCGCATGCGCGGCAGGAGCTGCGCGCACATTCAGCCAGTCTCATAGGAAAGCATTCATAATGCTTTCCTATGGACGCTTGTGTCTTCTCACTGTGATATTCACAGTGAGAAGCACGCAAACGCCTCTAGCGGCTGTCAATGAGACAGCCACTAGAGGATTTAGAGGCTGCATTAACCTATTTATAAACATAGCAGTTTCTCTGAAACTGCTATGTTTATAAAAAAAAAAAAGGGTTAACCCTAGCTGGACCAGGCACCCAGACCACTTCATTAAGCTGAAGTGGTCTGGGTGCCTATAGTGGTCCTTTACAAGCTCCAGGGTGGTCACCGGTTCGTGTGGCTGTTCGGTTCCCAAACCATATAGTCCAAATACACAAACCAAGTCTGTTCACATAAGTTTTTTTTTTTTTTAAAAGGGCCCATAGTCTTTTGGTAAGAGGCTGGATAGCAGGCCCCTCCAAACACCTGTGACGAGGTTCAGTTTGTCACATCCCCCTTCTCCATGATTCTCCGGACGTTACATTGGGTCAAACTTCTGAGGGTGTCGCTTCTCCGTTGATATTGGAGGATCACCTGTACCGTTTCCTGGGTTCCTATGATGTGTCAGGCCTATCGACAACGTCTAGAGAGTTACTCTGGGACGCTTGGGCGCCTGGCACCAGACGATCATATTTGCACTCCTGATGATCCTGGCATGGCTGGTGTCTGGAGAGATGTTTGGATCCCTTTACAGCCCCTATCATGCCCGTCCTGAACTTCTTGGCCGAATTGTTTTCTCAGGGTAAGTCATATAGGACTAGTAATGTTTTTTGATCGGCTATCTCGGCGGCTCATGTACCTTCTAAAGCTTCTGGTGTTGGTAGGGACCCCTCGATCTGCAGACTGCTCCAGAAGGGTGCACCTTTCGAGACCCCCTGCTTCTCACTATTCCTCATTTTGGGATGTCTCGCTTGTTTTACATTTCCTTGAGGAAGGGCCTGATAACGGGCACTTGTATCTGCACCAGCTTTCCACTAAGCTGGCTCTGCTGTTATGTTTTGTGTCCTTTAGTCACGTTTCGAATGCCCATGACATAGACTATTTTTCCTCTTCACCAGACGGTGTGTCTGTTTCTATTTCACGCAAGACAAAATTTAATTTGTCTTCTGTGTCTTATCCCTACTTTCCAGATAGACCACATCTCTGTGTGGCATGTTGTCTATGGACGTATATCTCCATGACTTCATCCTTTCGGCTTTCTGCCCATATGCAGCTGTTGATTTCCTACGTTCGACCGTTTGGGGCTGTTTCTGTTCCTACGGTTGCTCATTGGATTTGATGGCTTCTTTCGTCAGCTGGCAGGGCGAGTTCCTTTAGGGTGCATTCGGTTTGGGGCGCTGCAGCTTTAGCAGCTCTAGAAGCCAGTGGGTCCTTTAGGCATATTCTCAGCGAAACTGGCATGTTGTCTATGGACGTATATCTTAATGACTTCGTCCTTTCGGCCTTCTGCCCATGGGCAGCTATTGATTTCCTATGTTCGACTGTTTGGGGCTGTTTCTGTACCTACGATCGCTCGTTGCTTTCAATGGCTTCTTTCGTCAGCTGGCAGGGCGAGTTCCTTTGGGGTGCATTTGGCTCAGGGTGCTGCAGCTTCAGCAGCTCTAGAAGGCAGTGGGTCCCTTACGGATATTCTCAGCGCAGTTGATTGGTCTAGGGAATCGACTTTCTGTAACCTTTTATTTCCGTCCACGATCTCATGTTTCTTCTGTCTTTATGTCAGGGCGTTAAAATTGCAAATATTTAGCCTCCTGTCTTGCCATAAAATTAGGAATTATTCTAGCCTCGGTGAGGGAATAATCTAAATTGTATTAAAGACAGAGGGCGAATATTTCTCCCTTACTTTCTCCCGCCGGAATTGGTTTAGATTTTTGCTATTGTGTTAATGGGGGGTGTTGTTATATTCTTTTTATTGTATGGTCTCATGTTTTATTAATAAATACATTTTCTGTGCTGCGGTTTTGGTTGTCCAAGTGCATTTATTCATCATGTCATATTCCACTGATGTACTAATTGTGTATGGTGTCATTTTTTCTTTGACAGTTTACTTTCACAATGTTTCTTTTTCCTTGCAGTGTAATCTGGATTTTTTTTGGTTGTGGAAGTTTTTCATCTGAGTGTGCCTGCTACAGTTGGATTTGTTTGGTCTTCATGCTCTCCTGCTCGACCTCATCAAAGAAAGAGGAAGTAGGAGGGTCTGCCTAAATGGTTTCATACTGCTGTTATTTTGTTCTGATCGGTTGTTCTGAAAAGTTATGTTAACTGTTTCTTTGCTGCTGGAGGTTTTTAGTAAAGAAGGTAAAGCAAATATTCGCCTCCTGTCTTTAATAAAATTTTGGTTATTCCCTCACCGAGGCTAGAATAATTACTCATTCAACTCTGTGCAGGCTTTGGTAAGGATGGTGAGTTTTCTAGCTTTTCGATTGCTACCACAAAATGTGTGATTGCTTTGTTCCTTGTCTTGGAATAATAAAGCTTGCTAAATAAGAATGTAAAAAAAAAAAAGCCCTTATATACAAGACTTCGGTAGTAAATGGGTTAGTCTCTGTTTTAGATATTAAAGCTTTTATCAGAAGCTATCTACCAGTCACTAAAAGTTTACATTTGCTTCATGGAAACTTTAACAGGAAGCAGTAAATGGTAGGACTGCTGTTTACGTGATTACCAACTTGTTGCTAAATAATAGTGATTTTAAAAAAAAATGTTTAAATGTAGAAACAAATGGTAAGAAATGGAATTTGATGTTATTTATATTTTAACCCATTCAATCCTAACTATCAGTGCAGAATATGATGATGGAAATATTTACTGTGATCTATCCCAAACTATTACCCAGACTGCAGGGAATTGTTTGATGTGTGTTGTGGTGGGCACAAGAGTTAACTTTTTCTACAAATAAATCATCGATGCATTGCCCTGCACATGAAGCAGCTTTATAAAGGTCCAATTATGACGTTTGACATTTGTTTGTTGGATAAATATTGAAGAGTAATAAAAACATTATTTCTATAAAAACAACATATTAGCTGTAATATACATAGTTTGTGTGAACAGATTGAACAAATGTGCAATTTACACGTTTTTGTTTTTTGCAGCTTTTTTTCGCTTGGCTGCTTTTTGGCTGTTCTAGTCAATTCTTAGTCAAGTTATTGTTTAGAAAATAAGCCTAAAAATATAGGGAATAAATAAAGGTTAAACAAGTGATGGATATATGCATACCTTTTTATACCAGTCCAGAAGAGGAGTACCTGCATACAATTCATTCATTCTCAGAGGGAAGAAGTAGATATTTTCAAAAGATGAGAGAGATGGAAACTTCCTTCGTGCCTGTGTTTGATAATCTGTCGAATTAATGTCAGGCAGACCCTTCATGAAAAAAGCCACCGGTCGTTCAGGGTATACACGAGCAGCTGACTCAATCGAACACAGCACCAAAGGAGGGGGATCCATCCTTTCAGAAATCTCCAATAGTATGACACCATTTCCTTCACCCAGGACATCATATGTTACAACATTTAAGATTTTATCTTCTTTAGCTATGACATATCCAATGGAATCTTTTCTGTGCATGAAATGAAATCTAGTGAGGAAACCCAAGGCTGTGAGTAGCACAAGTAATGCCAAAACCTTTGGATTACTTATCTTAGTTGCCATGCTTGATGATCAAACTGCAGAAAAGTTAAAGGAAAATGGAGAACAGAAATGTCAGATTGTCCATAAACATTTGAAAGTAGACAACGCACAGTTGCAAAAACAACCTGCATGAGATCAACTTATAAGGAAACTGGGCTGATCTGGCAGCCACATTGTGGTGTACAGGTTTAGCTTTAAAACCAAAAGTAAAGACATGCTGATTTTAATATTTTAGTTTAAGTGCATTTACTTCTTAACATTATTCTTGTTAGACAATATTGCACTGTCTGTGTCTCTTCTCTCCTTTATACTACCACACAGTTTTATATCACGAGACATCTAGGGACAAGATATTGACTTTTGGGGTTATCCCTGAGGGGGAGATGTGCATATATTTTTTTATTTTGTTTTTTTTTAATCTTTATTTTTGTTGTGCATTACATAGTCACAATCTTACACAGCCAGAGCATGATCTTTGCACATGACATCACAACACAGGATGGTCCCTGCCATTAGCATCAGATATTTGCACATTTTAACAGAATTATGAACTTGTAGCATGGTACAGTGACAACACAGTTAACACTAAAAGTATTAAGTAGCCTGATTTATCACTCATTTAATCTGTATATACAATGATACCTTAATGCATTCTGCTCTGAACCCTATAGGAGAGGGTTTTATTAGAGAAGAAAAGTGTAAGTAGAAAGAAGAGATAGAAAAGAGAAGAAATTAGGAGGTCCAAGGCCCCCAGTGTGTGGAAGGGGGAGGGGGGTGGAGAGGGGAGAGAGGGGCACAAAAAGGCACCACCAATACCGGGACACTCAGGCCCCCGGGGAGTGCGGACACCTAGGTTAGTCTTAACGCCCAGTGGGATGCCATCCTACGGTTCCCAAAGCCTCTGAAATGCTCCTGTGGTCCCCCTTACCCTAGCAGTCAGATTGTCCATTAAGTGGACTTCCTTAATCCTGGTTAGCACGCTTGCTATGTGTGGTAGCTCTTGTTGTAGCCACGTGAATGCTATCGCTCCTCTTGCGGCTAAGGTAATTTTGTGTATTAGTGTTTGTTCTCTTCTTGTCCATCCGTCAATGGATCTATTCAGAAGATACACCCAAGGGTCTAAGTCTGGGGCACTGAAGAACACCTGCGTCAGGAAGTCTTTAATTGCGTTCCAGAATCTGATTATTTTTGGGCACTCCCACCACATATGTAGGTATGTACCCCTTTCCCCGCACCCCCTCCAGCAGTCGTCCGTGGTGGCCTTGTTCATCCTATATAGTGTGACTGGGGTCACGCACACAAAGGTGTTGTTGCTAGCCTCCCATTTCTCCTGCCATTCTACGCCCTCCAGTTCCTCTTCCAAATCTATTTCCCAGTATGTGATGTAGGTCAGTCCTCCCCATTCCCGGGTCTCTGAACATAGGTGTGCGTAAAGTTGTGTTATGAGCACCCTAGGTATATTTCCCGAGTTACAGATGGATTCAAAGAACGTCAGTGTCTTATGTGCCAATTATTTTATGTGGGGTTGTCTAGCAAAGTCTGTAACCTGCAGATGTCAAAAGTAGTCAGCAGGTGTAAGGTGTCTTGGTACAGTTGGAGTATTCTCTGCAGGCCCGTTTGTTCTAAATTTTGAAAATTCCTGGCCACCATACCAGGGCTTAATGCCCTGTTGCGTAGGAAAAGCATGAGAGAGGAAGAGGACACCAGCACATATTTCTGACCGTGGGAATCCCAAATCCTGAGGGAATTTATAATTGCCAGGCAGGTGACTCCAATCAAAGATCTATGCTCCCTGGGAACCCACATCACGTATAGGGGTAGATCTGCCCCCATCATGAGCGATTCTATTTCCACCCATTTTCTTTCGTCAGGGGGAGAGTGCCACATTGCAACCTGTGTCATTTGCACCCCTACGTAATAGTAAAATAAGTTAGGAAGGCCGAGACCACCCCTCTTTTTTTGCTGGTACAAAACATGTCTAGATATCCTATGTCTTTTATTCTGCCATACAAAGTTACCTATCGCCTGTTGTAGGGGAGTAAGTTGCGCCTTGGTCAGGTGGATCGGTAATGTCTGAAATAGGAATAGGGCTCGCGGCAGAATATTCATTTTTACGGAGTGAATCCTCCCTGTCCAGGAGATGGGTTTATCAGTCCACTGTTCCATGTCTCTTATCAATGTGTGCCATAAGGGTGCATAATTGTAGGAATAAAGGTTCTCTGGTTCAGCAGTTTTTCTATCTGTATTTGATGTGTCTTGTGCATTAGCTCTGTGTCCGCCCCCTGCATTTTTATTGGAAGTGCTAGATTTCGCCATATTTGCCTTAAAGCCTGCTATTTTCCCATATGCTTTGATAACCTCCCCCAGTGCTCTCATAGAGTTCCCAGGACTCGTCAGCGTCAGGAGCACATTATCTGCGTAGGCTGCCACTAAGAATTCCCTACCTCCCACCTTGACCCCATGTATGTCAGGGTGCATCCTAAGTGCTTGTAGGAAGGGTTCCAGTGAGATTACAAACAGCAGGGGAGAGAGTGGGCATCCCTGTCTAGTTCCGCTATAGAGTCGGAAAGGGGAGGGAGCGGTACCCGAGATCTGTACTTGTGCTCTGAGATTGCTATACATGGCCTTAACTACTGTAAGGTATTCCACAGGGAACCCCAGGTACTGCAGCAAGGTAAACAGGTAATGCCATTTGACTCAATCAAAAGCCTTTTCGGTATCAATAGAGATGACCAAGGTGGCGATTTGTTTCCATATGAGGTCTACGTTTCTACGGGTATTGGCATTTATCAAGGATGTCAAGTATGGTGTAAGTCGGTCCGCCTGTATCTTTGCCAGTATCTTCATGTCATGATTTAGGAGTGAAATGGGTCTGAAACTGCCGGGTAGCAGCAGATCCTTGTCTGGTTTAGGTAGAAATATAATGTTAGCTAATGACATGTCTGGGTTCGGTGTTGTTAAACAGCTTGGGTAACTGGGGTACCAGATCTTCCCATAAGGCCTTGTAGTAGGTCCCGTCAAAACCGTCTGGTCCGGGTGCTTTGTTCACCCTTAGCCCAGTGATGGCCCTATTTCCTCCTCAGTGATCTCTGCTGCTAGCTGGGTTTTAGCCTCCTGTGATAGCTTGGGTAGGCCTAAATCTGTCAAAAATTGGTGTATTCGTTCCATCTCTTGATCCACCCTTTGTCCGTTATTGGGAGAGTGGTTGTATAGTGCTTTATAAAAGTCCCTAAAGACTCCTGCGATGTTGTGTGGGGTAGTTTTTAATGAGCCATCCGTGTGTCTTATGGACGTGATATGTGATCGCCTCTGAGGGGGCCTCAAGTTTCTAGCCAGTAGGGTGTCCATTTTATTACCTTTTTCATAAAAGGATCTCTTTGACAACGTCATGACCCGTGCCGTGTCATCTAAAAGTAATTCTCTTATTGCATGTCTCTCTGCTTCTACCTGTCCCAGTGTCTCTCCATCAGGGCATGTTTGATGTCTTTGTTTTAATAGCTTAAGTTCAGTAAGAAGTCTTTCTAAGGTTTTTGTTTTTTCTTTATCGCCGCTAGTCGGATAAGGGCTCCTTGCATGACAATCTTGTGCGCTGCCCATATAGTGTTCACTCCTAGGTCAGGCATGATTTAGTGTAAATAATTCTACAATCTCCTTATGTATTTGCTCCCTGATCATGTGGTCGCGTAATAAGAATGCATTGAGCCTCCACGTCCAGGGGGACGCCGAGCAAAGATTCCCTAAGGAGACTGCAACCTCAGCATGATCGGACCACATAATGGATCCCACAGCCAAGCTCGTGGTACATGTGAGGCAGCAGTCGTTTACTAAGAAGAGGTCTATCCTAGAGTACTTTCTATGTGGGGCCGGATAATATGTGTAGTCGACTGCGCTCAGATGATGTACCCTCCAGACATCCACGAGACCTGATCTTTTCATAAAGCCGTGTAATAATTTGTCCTGTCCCCCCTGTGACCGAGGTAAACCCCTATGCACGCTTATATCCACAGCGGGGCTTGGCGCTGCATTGAAATCCCCGCCCACTAGGACCATGCCCTGCCGGAGAGCTTGAATCTTGTCAAGTAAGGTGTCCCAGAACCCAGAATCTGCATGGTTAGGGGCATATATATTAATCAAATGAATCGTATGTGAATATAGGGTCCCAGATACTATGATATAGTGCCTGTCTGCATTCACGCCAGTCGACGTGATCTGCATGGGCAGCTGTTCCTCATCAAGATCGCCACCCCATTGCGTTTACGGTGTGCCCTTGCTTCATGAGTTACTGCGAAGGTGTGATCCCTGAGCTTGATGTTTACCTGTTTAGGCTGTTTATGTCTCTTGGATGAAGGCTATGTTTGTCCCTAACCTTTTCAATTCATGAAAGAGAAGGCATCTCTTGGTCGGGGCGTTGAGGCCATTCACATTCAGAGATGTAATGTTTATAGTCATAGGATTGAAATTAGCACATAGCTATCTAGAAGATCAATCGTTAGGTGAGTAAAGTTTGCAACTGTTGTCCACTCCCCACCCCACCCATGCACCCCAACCCCAGGAATAAGGGAAAGATGAGAAAAGACTGGAAAAAGAAAAAGAAAAACTAGTAGCCAGACTTATCCGGGGAACATGGTCTGGCATCTCATTTGCGCGCAGTACCCGTGAGTATTGTGGGACCATGAGCCAGTACCTGTTCATGCTGCAGTGCTATTTTAAATTTATAGAACAAAGTTGTTACATGACACTCTGTCGTTTTGAATAAAAGATAGAACCTTAAAGGCTAACACGGTAAAACATAACTTCCCGTTTACTCTTTTAACGTAATGAACGTATCGTATAGCATGCATGCTCAAGCCCCCTGCATTCCCCCACCAGTGGCAGAGATGAGGCAATTACGTTCCCATGTGGTAAGTAAGCAGACGTAGTTTTCAAGGGAGTCCCCCCTAACCCTCTCCTTTGGTGGCCTATTGGGCTGTATGTCCCCCCCTCCCAGTCCTCCCCACCATAGGGCATGGGTAAATCCCTGC